ATGTCAAAAAAAGTGGGCTATTCATGAAATGTCTCATCCTCCACACAGATCTCAATGAATCGTAAAGATTCTCAACAGTAAAACTGTGCAAGAAGAGGTAATAAATCTGAATTACCATTCAGTGACCCCATTAAAAACAGAAATTGCAAATTTAGCTCACAAGTTAGAAATTCTTAAATGGAATCCTGGGCACAGACTGCAAATCACTCTGCCAGTTTAAAACATTTTAGGCATGTTTATGTTAGTTTACCAGATCAACTAGCAATGGAATCTCTTTCATCATATCTGAAAAGCATGTAGTCAAGCGGAATATCTAAAAGATGGTTCTGGAAAGCAGGTCAGTTCAGAAGTAACTTGCAGCACATGAGCTATTTGTATGAATGCAGTAGTTGCAGAATGCTGAGCTCCAACCAAAATCATTTGTATCATAAAAAGATTTTTTCTCAGCAGTAAAGGAACAGCATCTATGGACAGTCATTCAAAACAGCATAAAAGAAGAATACCACATGACACTATTGATACCCTTTATAAAAAAAAAGGACTAAAAATAGTTCACTTCTTATTCTTTGAAATGTTTTTGGTTGAAAGATGTCTTTTCAAATGAATGAGCAGACACCTAGTCATATGAGCCGTGCTACATAACACCTTGGAATATGGGACTTGTACGGTACATGTCACTTGAATGTTTTTAAAAGCACCTCTCTTGAATAAGACCGAATGTACCTGGCCTTCATCACCAGCCATGAGAACTGCCAGCCTACCTGCCACTTTCAAATGTTCTTTAAAGCAGTGGTAACCAACACACTCTCCACATGGGGCAGGCACACTGTTCTCAGCAACCCTCACACTGTGACAGAATCATACAGCACAGAAACAGACCCTTTGGTACAACTCGCCCATGCCGACCAAGTATCCCAAACTTAGTCTTATTTGCTTGCATTTGGTCCATGTCCCTCTAAACCTTTTCTATTCACGTGCCTGTCGAAATGTCTTTTAAACGTTGCATTTGTGCTCACCTCTACCACTTCCTCTGGCAGCTCATTTCATACACGGACCACCGCCTGCATAAACAAGTTGCCTCTTAGGTCCCTTTAAATCTTTCCCCCTCTCAACTTAAATCTACGGCCTCTAGTTTAGGGATCCCCTGCCCTGGGGAAAAAGGCCTTGGGTTTTCATCTTATCCATGCATCTGATGATTTTATAAACCTCAATAAAGGTCATCCCTCAGCCTCCAATGCTCCATGGAGGAGAGTGCCAGTCAATTCAGCCTGTTCACGTTGCTGCTAAACCCAGACCCCTGGAAAGCCCCAGTTTGACAAACACTTATTTGACAGCACAAGCTTCGATATCTATAGTCTGAGTGCATTTCTATCCATCGGCTACATGGTTTCCATTGATGCTGCATTCAAATACACCTAGCCAATTCAGAACGGAGCCAATAAATAAAATCCTAAATTCAATCTCCTCTGCCAGCAATGAGATCAGGAATTGTAGCCTGGATATCATTTTGCAGAGGGAGGGAGTGGGTTTTAAAACAGAAGGGGAGGCTAGCCAAAGCTTCAACTCTTGATCGTCAACAAGTGACCCCTATTGGGGAAAATTGCATACAGGTAGCTGGTCAAAATGGCAATTGCTGTGATACCCTCAACAGCATTCTGTCATTACTCGCAAATGAAAGGCAGCCACTAAAGGCAACACACAAGAGGGATACAGCTTGACATTAGAGGAAAACTAAATTAAGGACGGCTCTATTAAAATTAAAATAAATCAGATGATTGCTCACTGTCTTCATCGATAGCACTTGAGGTAAGGATGGGAACTTCCCTATTGAGAAGCCATTAAAATAAGTAGAAAAATTGCTCTCAGTAAGGCAGTGTGGCAAGACAATTGCTTCACATCATTCAAGTCATTGCATTAAATTCCACCAGTATCTAGCTTTTAAACTCATACTACAACATGTCAAGAGTTCCATCCATTTTCACTTGGATTGTCTAAGCAGCGACAACACATGCTATCTTTTCACCCGATAATAACTATACTTGTCAATGGTGTTGTACAGAATTCTTGCGTTAGGAGACTGGAAAATGCTTGCGGTATAATCACCTGCTTTCCCAATCACTCAGATGAGCAGGAATGAGGGCAAGAAAGCCAAGAAAGACCTGCAGCTTCCGTCAGTCAATCAACACTAGAACAGCTTGGGTATTTTAATATTGTTCCACCGACACAGCTGTGTCTATATGCATAAAATTCACTCACAATAAACGGACTCCAGAGGTAAACCAGATTTAGCAGGTACGAAACGGGTTTGGGAAACCAATTTAGGTTAGTGTGTCTACCTTCTCTTCTGACTGATCAACATGGGCAGACAGATCCAATCCAAGTTTAAGCATAGGTAGCGTCAGAACCTCGAAGGAAGACCAAATTGCTTAAAAATCAAAGCTCTATGAAGAGGTGTGGGTCTGAAATATCATTTCTAATATTAAAAAGGAATTGCCCTGCCCATTTCCCGACCAATTACAATACTGTGCTTAGAGCATCATCCACTTCTTCCTGGTTCAAGCAATCCAAAAACGCCCAGCCTTCCACTAATCCAGCAACTACATACAAAGAATGATGCATGATATAAGAGGCTCAAGCTAACCCTGATGCAGAAGCTTCTATTCACTCATTTTTCTTTCTTTTCTCATTGTCTGTAACTTTTTTTCTTTCTTCACCCCGTACCCCAGCCCCAGCTCCTCCCAAGTTGTTTGTCAATCCTCAAAAACAGTGACGAAATGATGTTTGGTGAATGAGCCCAAAGTCTGGATACCAAGTGCATCAATGCATGCAAATTAATGGGAGTCAATGCCAACTGAAATTTCAAAAGGTGGATCCGCAAGGCTGTTTGACATACCGCATAAAAGACAAAAAGCCTTAAATACTCCTGCTGCAGCAAATCCTAGAAAACGGTCAGGCCTATCCATAATCAGTGAAGACAAGTAATAAAGGTAGGCCTGAGGCCTATCTTTAAACAGCAGCTCAACTACAAATCATTTTCAAGCCGTCGTGAAGACAAACAAGGTAACAAATCATTTTGTGCAACAAAGATTGATATTTGGGATGGCTGAACTAACTTATAAAGAGAGACTGGAACAGTTAGGACTATATTTACTGGAGTTTAGAAGTATGGCAGGGCAGCCTGGAGGAAGAAGTGGTGTTCTCAGACACCTATAAAATTCTGAACAGCACTAGACAGGGCAAACACAGAAAAGGATGTTTAGAGCTGGATGAACACAGCAGGCCAAGCAGCATCAGAGGAGCAGGAAGGTTGATGTGTCGGGCCTAGACCCTAGACCCTCCTCTGATGCTGCTTGGCCTGCTGTGTTCATCCAGCT